TTACTAGCCCATTTAATTTGGGAGTTATGTATGACATAGGTTAAGGTTGTAAAGGCTATATAAAGCCTTCTTTTCTTTCATTAGACATCAGATTTTGGAATTAAGAATAGAATTTCTATTTTAGCTTTGTTAAGAGCTAAACTTTCTTTGCAAATTCTTGTGTTTAGAACTTGCATGTAGAGTCATTCAAGTGGTATTGATCAAACCTCTTGTGGAGTGATTCGAATCACGAGTTTAGAAACGAGTTTTCTTTACTCTTGATCTTGATCATCAAGGTAATCCGTTCCATACTTTCCCTTGGGTTGATTTCCATATCATTTTGGTATCAGAGCTTCAGGCTCAAGATCGGATATATGTTTCCTTTGCTTTCTTCTCAATTTAATTTTTATTTATTTTCATTTTTTTAGTTTTTAATCGACCCAAAGTTCAAAATTCAATCTTTGCTATATTTACAATTTTGAGAGGTGAGAATGAGAGCTTCATTTGTGTAAACAGAGTGGCCTAAAAAAAAATCCTTGAGTGTTGTATACACATGAGAGATTGTTGTGAGGGCCTTTGTATTTTCATATCTTATGTTTTGCAGCAAAGTTTCACAAATAGATTCGAGGACGAATCCTCTTTAAGAAGTGGAGAACGATATGAACCAAGAGACATCATTCATACAATATACTTCAATGAAGATGTGAAGAAAATGTTGTCAAAATTATCAAAAGAGGTTGCAATTCATGTCACATTGAAGAGGAATGAAGTTTGATGGTTATAAATTTTGGGTGAGTTACAATTTAGAGTAATTTAGAGTTATTGTATTTTAAGACATTTTATTTACTTTATAGGTTACATTTACATAATGGCTAATTATGGTCTATGAATGTTACAACTTTTGGAATGCTTTCATTTTGAGGCTATATAAAGCCATGTATGTTGTATTTGTAAGGGAGACTTGGAAAATATAGTAGAAAAGCATTTGTGCTTTCTTTAGCCAATGGCTAAGTTTCTTTGCAACTCTATGTAGTTTAGATTGCATGTAGAATCATTCAAGCTCGACATGATCAATCTTGCTTGTGGAGTGATTCGAATCTCAAGCAAGTGTTCTTACATTGAGATATTTGATCAACAAGAATCATTGAAGCTAGACATGATCGATCTTTGCTTCTGGAGTGATTTGAATCTCAAACAATGTTCTTGTCTTGAGATATTCGATCAACAAGGTAATCCGAATCTTATTCCCCTTGTAGTTGATTCCTTATCAATCATTTGGAATGTTCATTGCGCTTATCTCTTTTAATTTTCTTATAATTTTTTTTTCTCAGTTTGTGTAGAATGTTCATGTTCTATCACAAAAATATATAACAAAAAAAAAAAAAAAATTCTTATGTTCTTTAAAGTGTTAGATCTGGATCTTATCAACACTTTGTTCTTCTTTAAGATCTTCTAAATCAATTTTCTTGTTGGTAAATTGTTTAGATTTTGCCAATCAGAGGAAAAAAAAACCATTGAAATAAAGAAAGCATATGATGTTAAATGTCTTTCTTTTTTCCTCTTGATTACTATATGTAACTCTCATATGTT